TCTGTCTGCGCTGATGCCTGATGGCAGGTCTATGGCAAAAGCCTCACGAGATGTGGGATCCACCACCAGAATCTTTTCAGCATAACAAGGCACTGCCACCACTCGGCCATTCACTGAGCAACTGGAGTGAAATTTCCGTTCTCTGGCTGCCCTGATGCCTGATGGCAGGTATATGGTGGAAGCCTGCCCACAAGCGCTTTGCCCCATGGCTCCTGGAGGTCTAGAAGCCGTAGCCTTGTTTCATGCCCACTGGGTTCATCATGCCAGTTGATAGATGATGATAATGGAAGGTAGAGTAATTATTGGAGATCACCATTCGGGCGATAATGACATTCCTCCGAGCCATCAGCCATCGTTATTTGGGACATGGTGAGCAGCACATCTAACAAACACCCTCAACTCAACAAGTGGGTCATTTGGTCTTGTGTGTGTTGGGTAGACCCCATGATTGTCGGTCAATTCGATCCTCTGCAAGGTGACTTTGGAATGCATCCCAATCCCAACCATCATGTAGGTCATCACAATCCTGCCGGATCCATAATTATCAATAGATTGTTACCGGTTGCTATGAGTTTGTATCGTCGCCAACATCCATGTTAGGACAGGTTGATAACAACCTTCAACATCCATATATTCACGTCAAGGTCCATCCAAGGAATCCACACAAGGGCAATCAATGACAATATGTCAAAAAAGGGACTGGACATTTTGAGACAACGCAGTGTAAACAAACAACATCCACCTCCGGGGTGACCATCTGAAAAAGCAAGTTGATAGTAACCAGAATTAGCAACTCCGCAATCCTATCTGCTCGAGGACGGCTCTTCTTTAAGCTAGCAAGTAGTTGCCATCGTCGCTGCGGGGCGCCTGGTGTTTTCATTGTGTTTCACGTTCTAAACTCACGCACTGCGTTTGAATGCGTTGACATGGGGTGCGTGGGGTGGGGGTGGGGCTGGGGCTAATTAGCACACCTCTTGCGTAGCGTGCTATATACTTGGGTTTGTCCTCTTGCGGTTAGACTCCGGTCAGACACTCGTTTTGGCCACATGCATGTTTTTTTCGGGCTCAGTCAAGACACGCCGCAACCTTTGTTTCTTTTTTGTTGGCGTAGTTCATTGGTTCTTTTGTTGCGGTTGGCCGTTTTGTGGACATAGACAAGGTACCCCTGGTTCTTCGACCTTGGCTTCGTGTTCACCCAGTTTGTCTGGACGACATGACTTTAGTTTGTTGGTGTAAAGTTCGTAGTGGGGATCCTTTGGTTGGTTTGACCGTCGAAATAGTTTTGGACCAGGACCGGTGGTGTTTGGATTTTCAAGGTTTGACGGACTACTCCTACTCAGAATTGTTTGTGGGTTTGTGGCTAGCAGTTTGAGAACATCACTTGGAGAGTGGTAAAGGTGTGTCACCTTTAGTTTCAGCGATGTTGTTGTATCCAAACGACTCTTGCCGGGGGGGCACCATGTCGATGCTACGCGAGCGTGCCTCTGTTGAGCGTGCTTTGGAAGAGCTGCTGGAGATGCGTGTGTGGCAGTGGGTGTTTCGACGCGAGAAGATGCGTGGATCGCCTCAGGAGAACATTAAAGCACTCTCCAAAATGTGGAACACAAAGTAGTTTTGGCAAGTGGCGAAAATAGGGTGCGAACGCGTGCGCCGGGGAGCGTCTTGACTCATTTGCCGACAAGACCAGGCGCCTGGTGGCATCGTTCCCTAGTTAGTTTGCTACTAACATGTCTTCAAAAACCCGGCCAAATTTAGAGAATGACATGTCAATGTGTTTTACATGTCCATGACTTAATATATGTTGACTGGCGGTTGGAACCTCTGCCCACCCCGTGAGTTTGTGAGTGGGGTATTTCATTTCTGGGTTGAATATATGTTGAATCTTGAAAATCCTTGAAACCACCATTGGTATTCTTTTGAGTTAACATAAATACCATTGAACCATTGACCCAATGGAGTTGACCATATAACATTGGCACAATAGTCCAATGGCACAATTTAACTGACCCACTGGAGTTGTGCCATCTCCAATACAGCTCAAATCACGCTTCATCCACCTCAAACTGATGTTCTCTCGGCAAAGGCGGCATATCGCACGCAGCCCGGGCGACGTTGAGCAGCACAATGGCCTGGTCTTCGGTCCAAGTCTACGGGAAATTACACCACCGTAGACCCCAAACAGTTTGTGTTTTTCAAAATCGAAACTAGAGCTTGCAGACGTCCAGAGCTGGGAGACAAAGGATTGCAAGGCAGAGGCGGCCACAGCAGCCCAGGGCTGGGAGACAAATGTAAAGGATTGCAAGGCAGGGACGGACACAGCAGTACAGAGCGGGCGGACACATCTTAAGAAAGAATTGTGAAGCCCTAACAGTAAACCATTTGGGGTATTATTTTTCAAGTGCGAACATGATGCTGGTCATGCTGCTCAATCAGCGGGGAGCTGACCACGTGAGGACAAGAAACAAAAGCATGAGGAGCGAAGGATGTGACATGAAATTGATTTTTGGTGCCTGACGTATGCCCTCCGTCCCAACTGAACAGAGAGATCGCTGCCACGCCGCCGAAATCCAATCCGGTCATTCATCCAACGCTTGCCCGAAAAGGAAAACAAAGCGGAGAGAGTTACACAGTGTGGCAGGAATGCAATCCCGGAGACAGTCACGCACCCCTTTCAAAGGAGCAAGAACCTTTCACAGATGAACCTGTTCCAGCAGACAGGGCAGAAAACAGCAGTGCAGGCACCAAACCTGAAAGACAAAAAGAAAGAAATCACATGGGAGACAAGTGAATAGAAATGCTACATGGCCAGCGGAAAAGGGCGGCACCACCAGTGACAGACCCGGGAAACAAATGAATAGAAATGCTGCATAATGCTGCATGACCAGCGGAAAAGGGCGGACACCAGCAGTGACAGACCTGGAAAAATGAATGGAAATGTTGCATCGCCAGCGGAAAAGGGCGGACACCAACAGTGACAGACCTGGGAGACTAATGAATAGAAGTGCTGCATGGCCGACGGAAAAGGGCGGACACCAGCAGTGACAGACCTGGGAGACAAATGAATAGAAATGCTCATGGGCAACGGAAAAGGGCGGACACCAGCAGTAATGGACCTGGGAAACAAATGAATAGAAATGCTTCATGGCCAACGGACAAGGGCGGACACCACCAGTGACAGTCCTGAAAGACAACCAGCAGTGACGGACCTGGGAGACAAATGAATAGAAATGCTTCATGGCCAATAGACAAGGACACACCAGTGACAGACCTGGGAGACAAAAGAATAGAAATGCTACATGGCTAGAGGAAAAGGGCGGACACCACCAGTGACAGGCCTGGGAGACACATGAATAGAAATGCTGTATGGCCAACGGACAAGGGCGGACACCAGCAGTGACAGACCTGGGAGATGAATAGAAATGCTGCATGGCCGGCGGAAAAGGGCGGACACTGGCAGTGACAGACCTGGGAGACAAATGAATAGAAATGATACATCGCCAACGGAAAAGGGCGGACACCACCAGTGACAGACCTGGGAAACAAATGAATAGAAACAGCGACAAAGGGCGGACACCACCAGTCACAAGCCTGGGGGACAAATGAATAGAAATGCTGCATGGCCAGCGGAAAAGGGTGACAGACCTGGGAGACAAATGAATAGAAATGCTGCGTTGCCTGCGGAAAAGGGCGGACACCACCAGTGACAGACCTGGGAGACAAACGAATAGAAATCTTGCATCGCCAGCGGCAAAGGGCTGACACCAGCAGTGACAGACCTGGGAGACAAATGAATAGAAATGCTGCATGGCCAACGGAAAAGGGCGGACACCAGCAGTGACAGACCTGGGAAACAAATGAATAGAAATGTTGCATCGCCAGCGGAAAAGGGCGGACACCAGCAGTGACAGACCTGGGAGACAAATGAATAGAAATGTTGCATGGCCAACTGAAAAGGGCGGACACCACCAATGACAGGCCTGGGAAACAAATGAATAGAACTGTTACGTGGCCAGCGGAAAAGGGCGGACACCAGCAGTGACAGACCTGGGAGACAAATGAATAGAAATGCTGCATGGCCTGCGGAAAAGGGCTGACACCACCAGTGACAGACCTGGGAGACAAATGATGAATATAGATGTCGCATCGCCAGCGGAAAAGGGCGGACACCAGCAGTGACAGACCTGGGAGGCAAATGCATAGAAATGCTACACGACCAGCGGAAAAGGGCGGACACCACCAATGACAGGCCTGGGAAACAAATGAATAGAACTGTTACGTGGCCAGCGGAAAAGGGCGGACACCAGCAGTGACAGACTTGGGAGACAAATGAATAGAAATGCTGCATGGCCTGCGGAAAAGGGCGGACACCACCAGTGACAGACCTGGGAGACAAATGATGAATATAGATGTCGCATCGCCAGTGAAAAAGGGCGGACACCAGCAGTGACAGACCTGGGAGGCAAATGCATAGAAATGCTACACGACCAGCGGAAAAGGGCGGACACCACCAGTGACAGACCTGGGAGACACATGAATAGAAATGCTACATGGCCAGTGGAAATGGGCAGACACCAGCAGTGACACAAAGGGCGGACACATCTTAAGAAAGAATTGAGAACCCCTAACAGTAAACTGTTTGGGGAAAAAGTGGGAGACAATTGCAAGGAAGGAGACAAGCCGGCCGGAAACCCGACTACAAGCAACCAGCCTGGGAGACAAGTGAAAAGAAGTGGGAGACAAATAAAAGGAAATGGGAGACAAATGCAAGGAAGTGGGAGACAAGCCAGCTGGGGAGACAAATGAAAAGAAGTGGGAGACAAATGAAAGGAAGTGGGAGACAAGCCAGCCGGGAACCCGACCACAAGCACCCAGCCTGGGAGACAAATGAAAAGAACTGGGAGACAAGTGAAAAGAAGTGGGAGACAAATGAAAGGAAGTGGGAGACAAGCCGGCCGGGAACCCGCCCAGACCATCCAGCACCAAGGTGACCATTCTTTAAAGCATTGAGAACCCCTAACCGTAAACTGTTTGGGGAAAAAGCGCTGGAGATCTGCAGTGGAAATTGTCTCTTTCTTGGTCTGAGCGACTTAAAAATTCTGGTCCATGGCGCGATGGCCTGTTGCTCGTTTCAGGTCCTTTACCTTGATTGAAGGAAACTGTCTTTTTCCCAGTGGTTTGGTCCTTTTTGGAACCAGTGGTTACATCTGGTTACCAGCGATACTCCGCCAGTTCTCGTGAGATGTCCTTAATTCCCACGCTTGATCTTTTCAATGGATCCGTTTTGGGAGGAGGTCTCCCAGCCATCGAAGATCGAAGCACTGAGATCCGGACCTCCCATTTGCAGGAGGCGGGGAAATAGATGCGCTTGTACCTGGTACGCATCATGCAATGCAAAATCTAAACGACAGAACCAAAGGCAACACGGCATTTCACCCACGCCCAAGAAGAACCATCTTCTTAAATGAAAACAACCGTGCTTTTGATTCCATCGTCAGACCACACCAAAACAAACAAAATGTGTCTTTTCAATTCTATTTATGTCTTTTCTTATGTGAAAACGACTTCGCAAGGTCGTCCAAACGTTTCGCTCGACTTTCAGACCGAGCCGAGGGTGTGGTTTTCTTCGGTCACGTATCCAGCTTCAGGAACTTCCGCAAGAGCTTACACCGAGTCTCAGGAAGACTCGTCCGACTCGTCACGTCACGACGTGAAAGGCGTGAAAGGCGTGAAGGAGACTCCACGCGAGAGCAGGTGAGAGGATCGACACCTCTCGCAGGAAAAAAGACGAGCTAATGACCACGTGGTGGGGATATATATGTGTGGAATGGTTGGAGCCTCCAAAAGGGCCACATCCATTCCGTGGTCTTCTCTTTTTTTTGGGTGTGGGAAGATGAGTTGGACATCTTGGCAACATACATCGATTCGACGAACGTCTGGTAGAGACATGCGAACAAGGAAGACACCTGGGGCTTCCAGCCAGGTAGCCCCTCACGTGCCGCGCAATGATGGTGGCTGCCTGGACTCAGCTGATGAAAGCCACTTGTTGAGGTTTCAACGACCAAAACGGTGTCGAGGACCTATCACCGCCCTGAAGAAAAGTGCCGGGGGAAGTTGACATGTTGAGATGTTCGATTTTCCCATCCACTCTTCTCTTGACAACCACCAGCGATGTTTTCCGTGCACGCTACGAGTGGATTCATGAATGGGGGGTCCTGCAAAGGGAATCAATAAATTGATCCTGGAAATGGTCTTGTGCCCTTTGACCGGAAAGAGATCATCAGGAAGCCACTGATGGATTCGTCCTGATGTACATGTGGGTTCTATCTTTTCTGGGAGATCCACGGAGTCCTGGGGCACTGACACTGAGCCCCAATCAAGAACTCCCCCCAACAAGATCCTCGAAGGATCGGTGAAGGACATCCTCTTTATGAATCAACAGCCCACCATTGCCACCATCCCAACTCAACCACCAAGCCGAGCCCCCCTAAGTGGCCACGATTGAAAACCAGGCAGTCATCCAACAAAATGAGATAGAAAGGTCGTGTAGACTCTTGATGAACAGAAAGGACCCTAATATATTAATGATATAAGAGTTCTTCAATCCAAAAAGAGGTTTTTTGATTTGTCAAGAACACGCCATCGCCAACCGCCTCGGTCCTCCAGCCCAACGAGCCGCCCGGGGACGCAGCGCGCCAACCGCCTCGCGCACCGTTTGCCGCTTCTTCCGACGGCGAATCCAGCGCCGCACCGAGAGCCTTGCAGCGTTCGGAGCGTTACCGAACGGTCGCTTGTGGTTGGAAGCACTTGGAACAAGTGAGGCAAAAGGAGGAAGATCTCTCCATTCCCTCTATGTTTACATGTTTACATGATTTGTGAGGTTCCAAGGCCCAAGCTCGATGAGCTTCGAAGCTCTCAAGGTCAGCATCTCCTGCGCATGGTACGACGCGGAGCAGCCAGCAATCCACACCATGATGATGTCCGTGAAAGCAGTGTAGAAAAAGGAAAGAAAATTCAACAAAAACTACAGAGAAATGGTCAGGAATGAACGTCGACATGGTCATGGAGTCATGGTGGCCTCAATATTCCTCAATTGTCTTCTACTCAACGCTTCATCTTCCCTGGGGATGACCGACCCTCTTGCGTGGTTCCGAGGTCCTGTGCACTGAGAAGCAGATCGAGCCCCTCTTCTTCGGCCAGGAAGTTCTCCACGTACCTTAAAGAACCCACAAACGGCTTTTCTGTTCAAGTCCTCTTCCATCTCTTAGCGGAAACCATGGAATAAATATATGATGGGCTAGTAGAACACAACGGCTTTAGCTTCTTCAAATTCTTCAACTCCCTCGGAAGGACCGCTCCGCACAAGCCCATAGAAAACACACTGGAAATAACTGGAACACCTCAAGGGCGAAGCCACCACGCCACACTCCGACGCCGGCGTGGGCGATCTGAGGCCGGCTCGTCTGCATGGCGCGCTTCCAGAGGAACTTCCGCGCACACTTCTGAAGCCTTCACAAAAAGCGTCAAGGAGGCGTTGAGAAAACGAGTCCCCTGGCACCAAGGAGCCCCATCCAAGCAGGTTGGTTCGCTTGATTCAAATCCAGGACCCCCAAGTCTGAATCATCACACATCTTTGATTGTGAAAAATATGCTCAAAACGATCCAAAAGGATTCCAAATCGCCTGATGGCACTGAGTCGTTGGGTCTCGCTGAGGCTGAACTTGGCGAACGCACAGACTGCTGAGCGGTCAATGCAAGTTCACAAAGCTTTCAAATGGCAAAACCAAGGCCTGGATAGGTATGTATGTTTTCGATGCTCAGCTCAGCTGGCTGAGAGCTGCAAATGAAACGACGGGAAACTCAGCTGGGCCCCTCACTTTCAAGGAGCGTGCCTTGTAGACCTCTGAACACTTACCACTGAAGAACGGAGCGACGCTGGGAAATGCTGGGTCCATATTGATTGCAACATCCATGTGTCCAAGGCATGATACTTGGAAACCAACTGGGCACAGGTGATACACATCCCTGAACTGAACATGTCCAAAGACCCAACATCTCGCTGCAGCACTTCGCCGGCGCCGCCGTCTCAAGCTCGAGTGGCCGGCCCATCTCGGCCGAGGCCCCGAGCGCGCCAGCCGCCCTGGATGGCAAAGGCAGCACCTGGGAGGGTGGTCACGGAGGTGTCTTGAACTTCGAAGGACACCTGTCACTTGGAAGTGGCAAGTGAGTAAACCTCAGAAGGAGAGGGATCCCTCAAGAAGTCACCAGTATCAAGTGAGTATACCAGTATAATACCAGTATACCTCCAAAGGAGAGTATTCTACAATTGGCGGACCCCAAGTTGGGGTCTAGCCCAGTAAAATCATGTAAAATCCAACAAGGCTTCTTAGCAACTGCTTCGACAAACACATCATCTTCACTTCTTCACCTGTGAGCTCATCCGTCTGAGAGCTCATCTGAGCTCCCCAACTGCAGTAGGCTGACTTTTGGTAGAGCTGCTTCAGCCTTTGCGTGAGGCACGCAGACCCACACCTTTTTGCGACGCGTAGTCGTACAAAACGAGTTGAAGACCTCACCACAGACAGCATGCATGGCCATATATTGCCTACATTAGGGTGGTTCATGGGTAGTTCACGGGGTGCAATGCAGGCCATATTCCAGTTTCCTGGAGTGTCTGCTCTGTTGTCAGTGCGTGTATGTGCTGGGCCGGCGCACTCATCTGCAGCCTGGTGGGTGCGCTGCGCCGCTTGCTTCGGCTCGGCTCAGCACTGTTGAGGGCACATGGAGATGGAAGAGACACGTGAGACCGTGGGACCACCTGGAAATCCTGGAAATGCCCGGAGTTCAAGTCAAGTCATACCTATCGGATCCGATCAATCCGATCATCGGACCTTTTCCAAGGCTTCCCACTCATGTGCCTCCAATGAACCGCTGGTAAGCAGGCCAAAACCAATCTCTTTTGGTACTTTCACGCTCGACCGCGAACCGTTCATGTGCAGGTCAAGACATCCAAAGTGGGGGGGGAATTCCTGTGATCCAAATCATTCCGCAGAAATGCGAACGATCTTTACAAAGGGGCTGCTGCCAAAAGTCGAAAAGAAGCCGAAAAATAGTCATAGACCGAAGGCCACTCCAGTCCAAGAAGTGCCCCAACAACCAACAAACCCATGAAACCCGACGATCACGTCATGCGCCACCAACCGGTCATGTCGGGTTCAGACACGGTGCGGATGGGATCGCCCAACTCTCGCCCAAGTCCCCGAACACCGAGGTCTGCGAGGAGGTACCGTCGTGTTCGTTTTGGGGCTCCCCGAAGATCTCGATCTCCCAAAGCCATCCTCCCGATCCAAACCCTCTACCAGCACCCGAGCTCGACAGGTCACCAATGGTTCGACCTCCAACAGGGCCTTGCCCAACCCTCCATTTCGGAGACCTGTTGCAAGGGTGCTGGTATATATACGTCTCCGAACTGCTCCGATCTACTATTCTACAAACGGCCTCCGGGGAGGGGGGATTCGGCCAGTGAGAATGGTGAGAAGTCCTTTTTTTCGAGTCCCACCACTCGCAGCAGATCCACCGGGAAGTGGCTGGGTCATAAAGGCTTGGCAAAAAAAAAAACATATGTTTGCACCAATTGCCAAATCGATAAGGCAACAAAAATAACCCCTCACTTCTATACAACCTAAGACTCTGAAGACATCTTAAGACTCTCTTCCAGCGCACCCATCATCACCCATCGACTTCCGCATCCGTCCCACCTTTTGTCACCGAAAACCCTTCCTCGGATGGGCTCTGCCGACGGATTCTTCCGCTCGCGCGCCGCTCGCGCCTCGCGCAAGAGCTCCTGCGCCAGCAGCCGGTGCTCGGGAGGCTTCTCGCGGAAGAGGATGGCGCTGGCCTGGCGGGTTCGGGGCTCAGAGGCGCACGCGGACCGCCAGTTCGCGGAGGCACGGACCGAACCAAGCGGGCGTTTCAGACAGACAGACAGGCAGGAAGTTGGGACACCATGAGTGACGCCATGAACCCAGGGAGTGATGGTGAAGATGGTGAATGCCAACTGGCCATGATGCAGTAAAGTAAGGGATCTCATGCTGGTATTCTCAGCCTTGTCCGATGGCCCAATCGATTCTAATCATGATCATTCATAATCAATGTATTCACTGCAGAGACACCAGGTCAATGGATGTCAATGGCACTCCCAGGTCTGACTTTGACTCTGAGAAAAAAGGCCCCCGGCGGCTGCTACAAATGAAGGAAAGGGCTTTCTGGCAACACAGAAATACATGAAATGCCTGAACTTGGATCACCTAAGTGACCGACCGCTTTTAAAAATGGTCGATTGGACTCCGAAAACGGTGCTGCTTCGAACGCCGAAACAACGACCTGACGCCGAAGCAGCGAAAAATTCGGTCGTCGCCGGCCGACGCGCCGCTCTCCTCGCTGTTGGCCGCGAAGCGCCGGAAGCTGCCGGCCGCGCCTGCTGGCCTGAAAGAAAACATCAAGAACCAGCGACTCCCAGCCAGACTCAATACTTTGGTAATAAGTGACAAAAGAAAGGTCGCACTGCTTTGCTCTCACGAATCACTTGAGCCACTAGGTCGGTCACACATGCCAACTGCACACGCTGTCCAATGCAGGCGGGCCATGTCTAGATTACTCATGACCTGACACCCCGCCTCAAGATTTGTAAGTCTTGTCTTTTCTCCAGGAGCCTTTCTCGACAAAAGCTGGTCTTTACAGAAACCTAGAGCTCATCATCGCTCACAAAATGATGTAAATTCATCCAATATTCCGGGTCGAAGTCAAGGCTTGAATTCTGGTACCGCCTATACCTGGTAGAAGGACTTTCATCTTCTACTTCAACTTCTACCATTCCACTGTCATCAGACAGCGCGGTGCCACCTGCTCCTGCCACCTCAGCTGCTGCCATTGATCTCAGTCTCTCTGAACCATAGGCATCTAGTTTGCATCCACTCTATGCGCTTCTTTGATGTCTTCTTCTGTTCTGGTAATGAATCTCATCATCTCTCTTGAATCTCCTTCAATGTCAGGCGCTAATGATGAAGATCTTGCCGCTAACTCCTCATATTCAGGAAGTGTAACATGGGCCTGACCATGGTTCTCGTTGCATTGAGTTCACTAATTGCATCATCCTGTAGCGCATTATTCTCATCTTCCGGTAGTAATCCTTCTCGTCTTCCGCAATCCCTACACCATCACGTTGGTATTGATCTTCTTTCTGTTCAACCCTTCTCATGATTTGAGAAACTTGCCTACATGACGTCACCAAAATATGTTCTGGTCCACGAGCTTCTCCAAGAAGTCGCCACCTGTATGAATTGAAATCTGAGGTTTTGATGGGAACTTTTGCAGAATTGGGAACAAAGATATTGTGAGGAAATGCATCCTCATCATGTTGTTATTGTGAACCTTGACTAGGCTCAGGTTCTCGGTCATCACCAGGATCTCGACTACCTCTTGCTCGTTCTCCACTTGATCTGTCTTCACGAGGTCCAGATCTCCTCAACTTCCCACGGGATCTCCCTCTCATAGTTGGTATTGCGCAATCTGAATCTTCTTCTTTTGGCTGTTCAAGATGTGTGACACTGTTGGACTTGCATTCCCACTTGTGTCAAGCTTTCGGTTTTGATGCAAATGAGCCACCCCTAATGCGGCGCGACCCTTTCAAGATCAAGCGGAGTAGCTTGCTTGCGCAGCTTACTGCCCCTGTACAGACAGTTGGGCCAATAGCAGGCATTACAACGGAACAGGCCTTGCCTCCGCTTGTGCGTATTTACAAAAAACGCACCTTTACGGCGGCACGTATTGAAAGACAGGAAGCACTAGAGCAACGTTTATCCAAGAAAGCGCGTACAGGTGAAACTAAGAGAAGACGTCTGCTGTAGCCTTCGAGCAGACTGTCAGTTAGTCATGGAAGAGCGACACCTACAGACCGGTTTCAGGATGTTTGGTAGCAGGGTAATACTCCTCCCTAGGGCAAAAGTCTCCGCTCATGACCCTTTCTTTGCGTGCAGGTCACATCCGCTGCACCGGCTCAAGCTGTAGCAGAAGAGCGCGTGGCCTGAGGGCCCTTGCCCGAGCACTCCTCGAGCAACCTTTGGTTTCGCAACACCTTTGGCGTAGCCGACAGGGGCTTGGACCTTAGTCCTGGTCCCCCGGTTGTCCTGCAATGCAGTCGAGCAGAGTGGCCTCTGTGGCGGTGGGGCCGGGTGGGTTAAACCTCACCCCCTATGCACGCACAATCTGTCGAAGAGCAGATTGTGAAGTGCATTATGTCCAGCTTATGATTGGGGTTGAGCAAATCCAGGCGCCGTTGCGACTGGCGGCAGCAGTGTTTCTACGCACTCCCTGGGATGATGGTACTAGTCCACGCATTTCGGAAATGGTTCTCGTGGCTGTACCTCTTGCCATCCAACGCTGGCATTTGATTCTCGCAAACGGGCAAGCGCTGTACCCCTTTACAGATGCCCCGCATATCGGGAGTGACGGCGTAATCCTGCATGGACAAAGTGCCCGACAAAGAGCGCTGGTACACAACATCCTCAGTCATTTCCAGCACTGGCGCGTAATGGATGTTCTCTATGATCTTGCATAGTCCTCTCGGGACATTCCAGCTTGTTGGTATTCACTTTCTTGTTCTGATGTTGAGGTACCACCTTCAATTCTCTCTCTCTCTCAACATCAGCTTCTGTTGCTGCAAGTCGATCCATTTCGATCAATTTGCCCAATGTCTGGTTGTCTCTCGCACGAAGTCCACTGAAAATGATTTTGAATTGCATCAATTCCATCTCTTGTTGAATCAACTGTCTCCACAACCGATAGGTCAGCAATGCGCCAACAATGATCACTATCACCGTCACTGTCCACGATGCTATTACAGCTGACTGATTATCTGTCATTGCACATCCCTTCAATTCATAGCTGTCATCAACTGCATCAATCGAACCATTTTCTTGCCTAAGTGCAGGGGTAGTCCATTGTCCTGGAAGGATGTTGAATCAAAGCCAATTTTCTTGCAAAGATATTCACGTCGTTCACGAGACAACGGTCTGGTGAACCAGTTTCTGCGTTTGCCCATTTGTCCCCACAGCACACACGTAGCCAAATGCTTTGCGCGTCCTGGGCCAAGTCGCTCATAGAAAGCTTGCGCGCTTGTGGAATCAAGGCACAACTTCACGTGCACCTTTGAATTGCACTCAAGGCCACCGTCCTTCACTAGGAACTGGATGAACTGCTTGATCTGAATTCCTTCTGAAAGTAGGCCTGGTGGAGAAGAAAATGGAATACTACATTAAATTACCTCAAGAGACAGACAGATTGAGTTCACAGACGATGGACTCTATATTATGCCCAGCGGGAAGTACATTCCCCATCTTCTCATCTCGAAGACAGGCGGGGGAAAGCGACTCCATCGCATCATAGCTTGGAAGTCTATGACAAGTGGAACACAATGGACGAGGAGTGTTTGAACGACAAGGACGCTATGACTTTTCGAAGCGGACTCAGAGTTTGCGTCTACATCTATTGCACTCTCAGCATTGAAGAAGTTGGCACTATATAGTGACAAAGGACATGATGCGCTATCCAAAGGCAGGATTGAGGAGCTCGGTTTTTGGTCGATGGCGTCAGTTCAAGCCGTATGAGAAGAACTGTTCAGCGACAGTGATTGGGCATCGTGCAAAGTACCTCGAAAGTCAACGTCGCGTGGACTGATTTTCCTTTGCGGTTGTTGCGTCTATGGCCATTGTAGAGCACAGACATCAGTGTCTTTGTCAAGTGTGGAGGCGGAGATCTTGGCAAGTGCAAGAGGTCCTTCAACTTTGAGGGTTAAGTTCTTGCTCTTCATGTGGTCACAGAACTCTTGAATGTCTTCTTTCCAACCAATCAACAACACATCGTCCACATGCACGCTCAAGCAGCTCTCCTTGTCCTTGCGTCTATAAGCCGTTCCACCTGAAAAGCTCTCATAGCCAATCTCACTGCATAAGTTTCCGAAGAACTCGCACCACCTCCAAGCTGCATTGCGTTGTCCAGGTGGGCACCTTGCCAAACACCAGTACTCAAGGTCTGGCTGCTTCAATGCGTTCTTCACCCACTCAGGCACTGCAACAATTACAAGTTCTCGCTGATCAACCATGAGGAATGCGTTGCTGATGTCAAGCACTGCTACAAAGAAAGAACTAACAGTGTTTTGATAGCAGGCAATGGTGTTGTTGGTGAAAATGTCTCATGAGTTCCTTCTGTTGTTTTGAACTCACGCGCTACCATTCTTGATCTTCGAACCCATCGGCCAGGATCATCTTGAAATCTCCAGTCTTTCACAATTCGAGTATCCAAGAACAATGCTGTAGAAGCATCCTCCTCCAGTCTCAAGTCTCGGATCACAGAAAGTTGCTTCAACCTTTCTAGCTCTTCCAACAAGGCGATCTGCAACTGTTGTGTCCGGATCAAACTTGACAAACTTTGCTGGTTCATCATCTTGCTCAATGCCACGTTTACTGGCTGCGCCTCTCTCACTCTCCACACGTGGTCGTTGAACAGGTAGTCCAGGGGGTAGAGGAACTCCATCTCGTTTCACTCCATGAAGTTGAGGTGAGGTCACATTCGATGATGCCCCGCCTCGCAAAGAACCTCCTCCAGGAATTTCTGCTTCATCATCTGAGTGCGGATGAGTTAGAGCATATTGAATCACTTCTGCTGCTTCTTCATCTCGAACTGCATGAGCTTCTTCGCTCTGCACGCTTTTCTCTCATTTCATCTTTCTTACCATCACCTCGAACATCAGGATGTAGTGTTGGGAGAGGTGTAGCAGGTTGTTCTGTTGGTTTCACCTGCTTGTGAACACTCTTTCTCAAGTCCCAGGACCCATTCGCGCATCGGGATCAGGAAATTGGCGTTCCATACTTCTGCTGCTTTTCTCGCTGCTTTACTTCTGATGATCTCATGGCTGTCTACCACCACCAGGTCGTGGTCACTAGCATCTTTTCCAAGCCAAGCACCTTTTATTGTGAACGGTACTTCTTCTGAATGGGATCAATTGCCAGAGTTTGCCTTTGTAAGGTCTTCCACGAAGGCTTTGGAAAGCTGTTACTCCAGTGGTGTTTCTGATATGAAAGCGGTTCAACTGCCATGCACTCTGAAGCAAACCCCAGCTATGTAGTACATGTTCATCAGGGATCTTGCAACTCAACTTCTCCTCCAAGGCTACAATCAATGTCTTTTGTTGATTTCTTACCGTTTGAATCATCCGCTCAGCCTAGTATTTGCCAAGTCGCAACACAGTCTCCACGCCGTTGTTTCGTCTGATGGTCTGCGCCATACGGGCTGTTGTGAAATGCCAACTCCACCTTGTCAAAATAGCCGAGCTGCCCAAGGAAGTTCGCCATCATCTCACCAAGAACACCCTGGTTCTTGTTCTTGAGTGGTTCCACTTGCACCCACTTTGTCCATGTATCCACCATCAA